CTGATTAGTGCGAGCTCCTCGATCACTGTCGCATCTGCAAACAGGGGCCTGACCTGCACCAGCTAGCCTGATCTCAAATGACCACTTGCCTTCAGCTCCCTGACTCACTGTGATGCACGTCATCTTGCCTCCTGGTGCCGCTGCACATCTCCTCGAATTTGAGGCCATTGGCTTTTAAGAGATTGATGAGGACTGTGATAACGAGATCAAGTCGATGCTCTCAGCTGTCAATCTGGATGATTGTCAGAGCAAAGACAGTCACTATTTGAGGGAGCTCAGCCCTATAACTGTGAACAGGAGGCCAAAGGTGAAATTCATCAAAAACCTCAAAAAGGCTTCTGAGCAGATTGTCATCGAGAACACCCTATGCGAATATGCATGGTAAGTTCACGTTGACATACCAATCCTACCTTAGTGACTCGAGCTTCTTTTCCAGCTTGTTGAAGCAGTTTATGAGCTTTTGCATTAATCTGGGCTGTGTGGATAGCAGTGAAGATGTCAAAAGGCTTTTTCCTGACATTCCCAAGGAGTTTCCTTTGTGGGTTGTCATGTGAATCATGAACAAGTATGTTCTCTCATCAATGCTCTCATTATATTCAATGAAAACTCACTCAAGTCACTCACAACAGGGCTGATGAGCTGGATATCTAGACCGGCAAGCCCAAGGATCTGAGCATACTGTGGGTAATCTATGTGACAGCACACCATGGGTAACCTATGTGACAGCACAGAAAATGCGAGCAACGATTAGCCACAAGTTCAGCCATGATTATGAACTAAGCATGCAGGCTTGGACAGAGAACCCTCTGTCCAGAAAGTCTGTCGGCAATTCGTCTCTGTCAGTTGTATTGGAATCTGGCACCAGTTATCGGTGAGCGGTGCTGCTGGCCCTTGATGGTCTGTGCGCAGGAGTCTCGGGAATATATAAATATCTGTATACAGAGTGGTGAATTCCATCAGTTTGTACCTCAGATTACCTTGATATCTGGCAGGAGATTGACTCTATCTGGCCGGTTCTGAGCCTAAAGTCAACAGGTTGTGGTCTCGCAGTACATGGTGAGCCTCAGATGTCGCAAAGTGCATGATATGCAGCATGCTGCTCGAGACGTGCACTTTGTTCTCATAATTTATCAGGTGCATGCTGGTGAGACCATCACCAGTGCGCATGCAATGGACCACAGCATCATGCAACAGCTATGGAAATTCAACGCAAATTTCCCTGTCAGCGAGTTTGGCTGCATGAGTCGTAAGTGCAAGGCGGAGCATCCTGAAGATTGGGCAGGCTACAAGGTTTGACAGATGCTGCAGCTGCTGTACACAGTCTCAATGCTCTGTCTGCTGCACTATGACAAGGCATTGCGGGTCATGTGGACAGACATGACCTTCACGAAGGTCAATAATGTGTTGTGCATCCGCCTCGACCTTCCATTCTGTAAGACTGCTCAAAACGGTGGTGAGCATCAATCAGATCGTACACAGTTTGAGTCTCACATCTCCAGGCATTGGACAGGCATAGCACCTTTCTTCCTTCATCCAGATAGGATATGGCCATGGACTGTAAACGGATGGAAAAGGAGTGGACGAGAGGACACACGCTAGAGTCAAAGGCTTCAGCTCCTTGATGATAGCAGGACTCTATTAGTAGTATGTACCTAGAGTCAACTACGATACATTAGTATGTACGCTGCATTCATGCAGGACAGTATCGGTACTCACAGGCTTCAGCTCCTTGATGATAGAAGGACTGAAGCCTGCAGAACGAGCGAAGCGGGTGAAAAGTCTTACGGGCGCTAATGCCCGATAAGTACATAAAAGGAAATACCAACTGATAAGTCCATACTTAAGTATAGCTAGGCTTGATATTCCAACACTCCCCCTCAAGCCAGGTGAAGTCCAAGCATTCTGGCGAACTTCTCCACCTTCTGGCGGGTCAACGCCTTGGTAAGAAGGTCGGCGACCATGTCGTTGGTCGGGCAATACAAGATGACGGCGCATTCCATATCGATAACCTCGCAAATGAAATGGTAGCAAATGTCGATATGCTTCGTTCGCGCATGAAGGAGTCCACTCTGCACGATCGCGATTGCGCTCTGATTGTCGGCGTGTAACGGTGTCGGTTCCGCCAGAGGCAAGGTGAGTTCCGCGAGAAGCACGCGTAGCCACAACAGCTCGCGTGACACGTCAGATGCGGCAATGTATTCGGCCTCCGTGGAAGACAGCGCAGTAAGGGGCTGCTTGCGCGAAGACCAGCTGACAGCTCCCCCAGAGTAGAGGAAGCTGTACGCCGAGATCGAGTGACAGTGGGCTTGCGAGGCCCAGTCGGCATCAGTGTAACCTATAAGACCATCGGTTGTCACACCGAATGTCAAGGCCAGGTCGCGTGTGCCTTTAAGATAGCGCAGCACACGTTTTGCGGCATCCCAATGCGCGGGCGCTGGGTCAGCCATGAAGCGCGCCAGTGTCGAAGTGGCAAATGTGATGTCAGGACGTGTGCCGATAGTGGCGTACATAAGGCTCCCAACAAGCCTTGCATACAGCTTGCGAGCCATGTGCACACGATCTTCGTTCGAGAGCTCGATACCGAAGAGGTTAATGTGGGGGTCCATCGGGACCATGAGTGCGTAGGCATCGGTCATGCCGAAGCGATCGAGTATAGTGTCGATATACGCAGATTGCAAGAGCGAGATAGTGCAGGCAGCGCGGTCGTGGTGAATCTCAAAGCCTAGAAGCCAGTGCGCCTCACCCAGGTCGACGATCTCAAATCGTGTGGCGAGCTCCCGCTTCAGATCAGTCATGGTGGCCGTTGTGTTGGTGACGAGCGTGCAGTCGTCGACGTGGACAACAATAATGATGATGACCTTAGAAACAAAGGCGAAAAACACACCGTAGTCGTGTTTGCTGCGCTCTAGACCCAAGCCAGCAAACAGCTCACAGAGCTGAATATACCACTGTCGGCCAGCCTGTTTGAGGCCGTACAGTGCCTTGAGGAGCCTCCAGACATAGTCTTCACATCTGGGAACCTCGAAACCACGTGGCTGTTTCATATAGATGGTCTCATCAAGCTCGCCATTCAGATATGCGTTTTTGAAGTCTATCTGGTGGATTTTCCAGTCGTTAGCAGCGGCAAGCGCGAGTGCAAGTCATAGCGATGCAAGACTCGCTGTCAGTGACGCCATCTGGTCGAAGTCGATGCCCGGGATCTGCGAGAACCCTTGCGCACACAGGCGTGCCTTGTACTTCGCGATCTCGTTGTTCTCGTCGCGTTTCCTGTGGAGCGACCATACCGATCCAATGACGTGCGCGTTCTCCAGCTTCTCGACTAGCTCATAGGTTCCCATCACCTCTATCTTCGCCAGCTCCTCCTGCATTGCCTCTCGCCACTGCTCACGTTCCGGCCTGGCCATCGCCTCGTGGTACAATGGAGTGTCGCCAGCCATGGCCGCCAGAGCATAGAGGGTCTCCCCCTCATCGTCGGACTCGTCCTCCGGCTGATCCTGCACGAGCTTCGCGTGCTCGAGAACGCTCCTCGGAACGCACTGTGCGCCGCGTCCACCAGTGGTGCCGGTACCTGACTGTAAGTCGTGTATCCATTGAGACGGCTGACGTACGCGTTTAGGACGTCCAGCTCCTGGCTCAGGCGTGCTCTCCGGCTTGGTCGCCACACTTTCTGGCTGCGGTGGCTCGACGTTCGCATTTGTCGACTCATTCGGGATGGTGCAAGTGGCTGGACGGCGTTGGACGGCGCGATGGTCGCGGCTGGTGTGGAGGTCGATGGAGGTTAGAGTGAAGTGCCCGTAGGCGCGTTCTGGCCGCTTTTGGCCTTGTTCGGCTCCCCCTCGGGCTGAACGTTGATGGTAATGGGCACGTTGTCCTCAACGAAACGCACGTCGCGTTCAACGGATACCTTACGCTTGTCGGCCCAGTACACGCGGTGGCTCTTGCTATGCACATCGAACCCAACCCAGCGGCCTTGATGCGACTTCGGATCAAGCTTCGAGGCGGCATCGACGCATACCCACATGGTGCAACCGAATCGAGGGAGCAGGTCGAGATGGGGCTTCTGCCCTGTAGCGCGTTCGTGCGGCGTCGAGTCGGGGGTGTTCTGGGTCATCGTGCAGTTGCGAAGCCACATGGTATGCATTACGGACTCGGCCCAGATGAACTTGGAGAGGTCCGCGTCGAAGAGCAGCATGCGGGAGTGCTCGGCGAGCGTCCGGTTAAGGTGTTCAGCCTTGCCATTCTCCTGCGGGGAGTCATGCACGGTTCGGCGATGGTGCGTACCTTCGCTTTTCAGATAAGCCTGGAATTCCGTGCTCATGTACTCCCCTCCATTATCGCTCTGCAGTTCCTTGATGGAGTTGACACCTCGGTGGGCCTTCACCCATAAGCTGTAGGCCTTGTACTGTGTAAGTATATCGCTTTTGCGGGCAATAGGGCACACAACTGCCTCGTCTGAGTAGTCGTCGGTGAAGGAGACATAGTACTCCTTGCCACCGAGGGACTTCACCGGCGCTTTCCCCCCAGACATCCGTGTGCACGCGCTGACTGTACGCGGTCGCTTGCGGGCTCGAGCGCGCCTTCGGGAACGACTCACGGGTCTGCTTCGCCTTTGTGCAAGGTTCGCAGAACTCGGTGTTCGTGTCCTCGAGTCATACTCCGGTGATGATGTTAGCCTCAACCATCTTCTTGAGGGCAGGGGCATAGGCATGGGCCATGCATCAATGGAACTCGGTGAGTGATAGCGTTACCATTAACGCTGTCTCCTTCGCAGGCGCTGATGGGACTGGTGATCCGGGTAGCAGGTACAGACCGTTGCGCTCGGCGGCTACAAACACGGTGGTACCTCGAGGGGAGACGACATGGCACCCGTCGTGCTCGAAACGGACGGCGTAGCCAGCCTTTGTAGTGCGGCTGATGGAGATGAGGGCGAAAGGCATAGACGGTGCATAGAGAACGTCGCATAGGGTAAACTTGACTGTCTTTCCCTTGTGCACAGTAGCGACGCAGACGTCGCCTTCACCGGTGGCATAAAAGACACGGCCGTCGGCTGATGTGATCGGCTTGCGTTCGATCTCCCAGAATGTGGTGAAATTTGAGCGTACCAGATCGAAGTGTCGGCTTGCACCTGAATCGAGGATCTGGGTGAGCTTCGGGAGCTTCGCTCCCTTGACCTTCGAAAAATCGGTCGCAATGGCGAATGCGAACGCCTCGTCATTGCCTGTTGTCGCCGCATTTGCACTGGCTCCCCCTGAGCCCTTGTCATGCTTCCTCCCTCTGTTCTTGCTCCGTGGCCCTTGGCCCTCTTTTCCACCACCTTTTGCCCAGCAGTCCGCTTTCAGATGGCTGGGCTTATTGTAATTGCTGCACGTCTTCCTCACATCCTTGCCATCCGACCTCGTCATGAGTGCGGAGTCTTCCGCAGTGCTCTGCGACTCGTCCAGGGCAAACTCGTCGCGTGCGACTGAGTAGATCTGGCGTAAGAGTTCATCGGATGTGATGGTGGGAGTGGGAGTTGTGGTGGTGCCAGTAGCCTGGATGGAAGCCAGGTGAGCAGCTGAGAGGATGGTGTGTACGACGGGGCGATAAGACTCCGGGAGGCAGCTGATGATGAGCACGCAGTATTGCTTGTCGTCAAGAACACCGCCAGCTGTCGTGAACTCGGCCTTAAGCTTCTGGAGCTTATCTAGGGTCGGTCGAGGGTCCTTCTCCTCGGTGCAGCGAAGAGCATGCATGCGTCGGAGCAGTTCAGCCTGGACGAAGTCACCGCGATTGTCATACTCAGCTATGACCACCTTCCAAGCTCCGGACGCCTTCTTCTCGGGGATAATCCGGAGTTTCAGCGTTTCCGGTAGCGTCTGGTATAGAAGCGTTTTGATCGCCTCATGTCCGGCGGCCCAAGTGTCGTACGCATCTGCGTACGCCTCGTCTGCGTCGGAATCCACCCCTGGAGCCGTGGGTGCAGTAGGCTCCTTGTCGCGGCCATCGAGATATCGCACCAGCTTCTTCGCCGTTACGGCGGACCTGAGTTGCTCCTTATAGAGCACCCAGTTCGATCCATCTTCTGCGAGGTGGGGGATCCTGACTGATGATTCGTGATTGCTGAGTGACATCTCGTAGTGGCCGGCGGGGCTCATAACCTGTAAACGGATGGAAAAGGAGTGGACGGGAGGACACACGCTAGAGTCAAAGGCTTCAGCTCCTTGATGATAGAAGGACTCTATTAGTAGTATGTACCTAGAGTCAACTACGATACATTAGTATGTATGCTGCATTCATGCACACCGGAGGCATGAGCCCATGATTCCGCTGGGAACATTTTGGACACATCACGATAACAGTCACAATGTAACTCTAATGTTACTGATGTAAACATCACAGAATGATTTGAATTATTTCGAGTGAGCACATTGTGGAATAATAGTGATATTATTCAGAAAGACACCAGGATGAGACAACAATTTTGCTCTGGCCAGCGTTCATATAATATATTGGTATCATTTTGAATGGATCTTAAGGGTACATTACAAATGTGATCAATGTGATGTTATGATGAGTATCAGAATGCTTTCCATCATGTGTCGGCTGGAATCATCTTGAACACATCGGAGGGTGTCCTAATATGGTTAGCACATTACTATATATAGTAATAACAATTATGCGATCACGATGAATCCATTGGGAACACCTTGAGAACATCATGGCTACTCACAGGTATCATTTAAGATTTTCTCCCAAGAAACATTTAGGATGCTATTGCAATAATGCTTAAATGCTGTCATCTGCAGCATTGGGGTCTCATTCTTGCATCTTTATGAATGCTATCAAAATTGTGCCACAATGTTGATGCTTAAAACATTTTAAAACATTCAAAATGATTTCAAAATGTATGTGCTAAAAACATTGCATAATTATTTAGACTATTATTACAATGTGTTCAAAATGTTTCGGGCAGAATCATGGGCCCATGCCCCCGGTGGCAGGACAGTATCGGTACTCACAGGCTTCAGCTCCTTGATGATAGAAGGACTGAAGCCCGCAGAACGAGCGAAGCGGGTGAAAAGTCTTATGGGCGCTAATGCCCGATAAGTACATAAAAGGAAATACCAACTGATAAGTCCATACTTAAGTATAGCTAGGCTTGATATTCCAACATGGACGTGTCCGGTCCGAGTGTGGAAAATCGCCACTGGCCACTGTCCGAGGGCGTCGATGAGTGACCGAATTGCGCGCCGCGTCGTGGTAACTCTGAGGCAAAACACTGGAGACCCTGTCTCCCAGCGCTCCCCGCTATATAGTACCAGCGTACATATATACAAACATACCGGTGGTGGCGCTGCCCATTGCCACATGCGCGCCCCTCCGGCCCAGATTGCGACACCGAGTGTTTGCGGAATGGTGGAATCTGTGCAAGGGCATGAATATAGAGCAGACCGGCTACGTGTTTCGCAAACACGTCGGTAATGATGGAGTCAGGGTGAATGCAGGAGAGGCCATGGCCCATGGTGAGTTGTGAGCACTGCTACCGATAAACCGTGGTTGAATTGCTCTGGCCTGCGGTAGTCGAACGACAACTTCATACAGTGCTTCCGAAACAATCTGTGCGATATCGGCATCGATCCTCGCCCATAAGGAACCCACTCTTTCCATCGCGGAGGATGTCAGTATCTCGCCATGGTGCTTCGGTGGCCCATTCGTGACATCTGCACCTGGGGGGGGCTGGGCGGAGAATTTCGACAATCCAGGTACTATATTCAAGTACCTCCTGTCATGGACGGACACGCCACTCGTCGAACGGAAGGACTACTTCAATCCGAAGCGCGCCGCTAGTGATCCGTGTACCACATGTGGTAGAACCTGTCACTGTGTTTCATCCTTTCGACAATTGATGGTTTTTGTTTTCATTCAATTCCATTTCCGTTGTTGACAATTCAATTCTATCAATGTGAGGGGGGTGTAAGTTTTAAGTTTACATGCACATGTCTACAGTACTGTACTAGGCAGATTGAGATTGTATAGGTAGGTGTGCGGGGTGTGGAACGGTCGCACTGATGGGCACTAACAGCCCCGTCTGCCTGCATGCTCCGCTTCATTCATTCCATGCCCGTCGTCCACGACGCGATCAAGTTATGCCGGTGGCGTAGTGACAGTTGTGCTGGGATGTGTTTGCTGGGATGTGTTGCGCCGCCCATCAACGGTCGTTATTGCACCCTGCCGGCGGTCCACATACCAGGCCGCACAAGTGGCAGCGCGAGCATCGTCGTAGCAGATAGCTCGAGGGGGGGTATCTATCGATTCAGCACACTGCGTCCCTCCTGCGCCCCTCCGTGAATCTGCGGTGACGGGCATCGTGTCGTTGGGAATGGCATGAATACGATGTGGACGAGGAGGGGGGTGGCGAAGCCGATGGCGCCTGCTCATGCCTCCGTGGATCTGCGGTGACGGGCATGAGTACGATGTGGACGAGGAGGGGGGTGGCGAAGCCGATGGCGCCTGCTCGTGTGTTGAGGGAAGCTGTGGAACGGATAAAGGCAGCTTCATGGACCATGGGGGAGGGCAGGTACGTAGCGTATGCAGTGGAGTCCGGAACCAACCATAGTCGGGATGGGTGAACCCGTGGCAGGTCACTGAGTGTCGTTGAGGGTCAACGCACAATGTATAAATGCACGGTTAACGTTCGTCAGCGATGGCGCATGCATAGGAGAACGCCGGCACTCACCTTTCCATTCTCTCGTTCCGAACGTGTTATGAGAGGCGTAGCGAGCGGCGAGCGCGCCGTTGAGCGTCGAGGCACATTCGTGCCATTTGAATGGGATGGAAGTGCCGACGTCGAGCCGGGCGATGCACGCGAGAACGAGAAGAGCGGGTAGGTATAGGGGCGGTCGGTGAGGATGTGACGGAGCGTAGGTAGGAGAGGGCAGGAGCGGTGAGAGGGCAATGGCAGGAGGGAGAGCTGAGTGGGAGGAGGAGGAGCCGCCGGGGGACGCAAACCCAGGACCATCAATTTGGCAGATCGCGAGGGCTTCGCGCCCACCGCCAGCGCGGCTGCCCGCCAGGATCCGCCCGTGTCGCAGCCGTCTTCGTCGCGACGGTCCCGGCGTGGGAGATTTACGGTCCCACAGGCGCGCGCGGGGCCCTCAACCGTGTTGCCGTTTTAGGCAGTCGACGCCAACGCGCGGCATTTTCTCACGCCTCGTTTGCGCGAATCTCGCCGTCTGGCCCTCGTTCGCCACGGAATCCGTTCGAAAAACACGTAATAAATTATCCCAGTGGTCTACCGTCTCCCAGGCGTTTTTTCCTCGGTCCGAAACCGCGGACGCGCGGGCGCTTGCGGGCGGTTGGCGCGCGTCGCGTTTTCGAGGGGGCCGCTTACGTCAGCGGCGCGCGCGGACCGTCAATCTGTCCGGATTCAGACCTTCTTCCCTCAACCATTACTTGTCTCCGCCACTACCTCGAGCTGCAACAGACGGCGCGACTCGAACAGAACGCAAGGAGATCTGTGGTTGGACGAAACACTTTCACCAGCCGCTCCCTTACCTTAAGTGTTCAAGAAAATACAGATCAGGTGCGCGACAATGCCGAGCAGTTGTGGCTATGCTTCGAAGAAGCCTAAGCACCCGTAAAACTTTCTAGCTTATCGAACGTGTGTGTGTTAGATTCTGCTCTACCCACTGTTTGTTTGTAAGCCATCTGCTGTACGACCAAGTCTCACTGCCTCTCTGCCAGTTCATCCTTTCCTAGAACGTCACAATGACCAGCAAGGGCGTGAAACGTGCATCCCCTGGGGACTCGACAGAGAAAGATCTCCTCAGTGACGTCAAGCTGACAGACGAGTACGCGGCGAAGCTGCAGGGGATCCAAAGGGAACTTGCGCGTCGTGAGCTTATCCTAGGTGCGCTCCCACCCTCCTCCATCCTTGATAGAGTGAGCTAACGGGGCCGTGCTATCCGGCATGTAGAGCGCCATGCACAGGAGTTTCTCTTGTCCGTGTATGAAGACCGGCGGAGCCTCCTCAAGGGGATCCCGAAGTTCTGGGCCGTCGCGCTCATGAACCACAACATGCTCGCAATGCAAGCGCAGCACAACGTGGACCAGGTCCTGCTCAGCTATCTGGAGGACGTCTGGGTCGCGCGGGATTTGGGGGAATCGCGGTGTTTCACGCTAGAATTTGTGAGTGGGGCACATTACATGTTGTGCAGACGCATCGTCGTTGACTGACAACTCGTGCAGCACTTCAAGGAAAATCCGTATTTCTCGAACAGGGTGCTGAAGAAGGAGTACCGGTACATGTTGCATATCGCAGTGGAGGACAATCAGCCTGACGTGGATGGCATTACACAATCCATGCTTGAGTTCTCATGGGAACGTGATGTGGAGCCTCAGGTAAGAGCAATTGCGACAATTCCAATGCCACCAGGCTAACTGTGTATCTTATGACAAACAGGCCCAGAAGATCGACTGGAAGGATGATTCGAAGAACCTCACTAAGCTGTGCCCCCAGGTGATGGACGACGATGGTGATGACATGCCGTCGGAAGGTGGCAGTTTCTTTAATTATTTTGAGCATGAAGGTGATCCATACAATGTGAGTGCCTCCTACAGTGGAGGGTTGACATTGGTGACATGGTGCTTCATTCCTAGATTGGGGTGCTCATCGTGAACAACATTTTTCCAGAGGCAATCGACTATTTCCTAGGCCAGGCCGGGGGCGACGGCATGGAGGAGGATGATGACGCAATGGAGATTGACCTGGGGAAGCGATGCCTGAAGAAGGCGAAGAACATAGATGACAGCGGCCAGGTTCCCGTCACAAATGACATCGTTCTAGAGGCAATCTTGGACCAGGCTGAGGGCGAAGACGACAGCCAGGACAATGTCAACGACAACGTGAGTATTGACTACCGTTCACGTTGCAAGTGTTATGAGCCTTATTATTAGGAGATAACGAAGACATTGTGGGATTATTCCATGAAAGACATCGAGTAAGTTCCCACTTTGCTTAATCATATTCAAAGGCTCACCTAGTTAGTTCGTTGGACGATGATGGGCTGGAAAAGCTTCGAAAAGAAGTATTCGGAACCGATGACTTGTCAGACATGTCTGACGTATCTGATGAAGAGGTTGAAGACCATCGTTCCAAGCCTGATGGGAAGCCTGTGAGAAAGAGAAAAAGGGGCTCGAAAGTGTGAGTTTTTATCACTTATACATAGACGTTGGTTATGATTATGACAATGACGCAACTTACACAGGAGCGATAGGAAGAAGAAGCAGAACATAGAGGATAACATGCAGAAAGACGCGAGAATGATGACTGAACGAGCAGAAGAAAACAAAAGTACGTTATTCTCGTATAACAATATACAATATAGCTAATATGAATCTAGATGTCTTCCCTTTCAGCTTTGCAGACGCTGTGAAGGGCTTTACACAGACCCCATCTGACGTTAAAACTTGGGATGATGATATCCCTAGAAGTGCTTATTCCTCTGATGGGGAAAAGCTAGTGATTCATTTACCAAGGTTGGTAAAGAAGCGTGGACAGGTGAGTTATCTGATATATAATATCTTAAAATATGACTGAGATGAATAAAAGGAAGCTTTGATGAAAGACCTTCAAGGGTACTTTACGTGTGTAAAACCCAAGGTCAAGAAAGGGAAGGAGGATCAGTACACCAAAGGTGAAGGTGTTAGAGGAGAGCTTAAGTTGGTAAGGGGCTGGCATGGAATTGGTCAACCTGTAAGTGCAAAATGATCAGCTTTAGCATAAATTAATTTTGCAATTACAGGCAACTAGCGAGATTACCCCAAGCGTAGACTTCATCAGAAATGCAACTACTCTAAGACATTCAACAGCAATCGTGAAGTCAATGCGCATTCTCTCATTGCGCGTAAATGCAATCATCAAAGCCGGTGATCCAAGGTTTTATAAACACGCAGTAGTAATAAGAGAGAAGATGGAGAAAGATAACACCGCAGCTGAACTCCTGGGCAGCATAGATCCTTTAGTGCTTGAAGGGAGGGAGATCCTGGTCAACAGTCAATCCTCCACGCATGTTGATAGGTATGATCCTATCCTGGCATGGGTTATCATCGTGGCCCTTGGGAATTTCAAGGGAGGACACATTTACTTCCCATCTTTAGGACTCAAAGTCAGATTATTACCAGGTGATTTTTTGCTTAAGATCTGAGCTGCTACTCACCGACTGATTTATGTCGCCATTAGGTGATGCTGTGATGATGCGTGGTAGAATTTTACCTCATAAGGTGGAGGACTGGGAAGGCACTCAGAGGATCTCTATTCCTCACTTCACTCATTTATCCATTTGGAAAAAGTATGGGATGGCCAATGATGTCTCTGCTTAGAATAGTTCAAGTACATCGATGACAAGGACATGTTCCAGACATACTACACGACGAAGCTGTCCAAACGTCTGATGCATGGCGTTTCTGCATCCGACGAGGCAGAAGCAAGCATGATTTCCAAATTAAAGGAGGCTTGCGGTTTCGAATACACTAACAAGTTGCAACGCATGTTGACCGACGACCCGGGCAGAGTCGCGATGTATGGCGGGGGTCAGCGGCAAGCGCTGCGTGCAGACTGCGTGTGGCGAGGGCATCGACCGATGCTGCTCGTCGCGTTCGCGATCGCGCTCATGGCGTCCATATGGCGGAACTTCACTTTGAGAAGTATTCCACGACATTGCGACCTCCATCGAGTACCGATCGCGATGTCTGAGTGCCATGGAGATTGAGAACACGGGCACCGCGAACGACGGAGCGTGCTCGCCGCGGGGACGTGGACACACACCGACTGATCGTCTCTGGACTGATACTGTTCAGCTTGATCCTCTGTTTCCGCCGTGCGCCAAGTGCGCCAACTTGCGTTCTCAAGACGCATGCCGCTCGCTATTGCGTCCCTCTGGCGCATCGCACTCCTCCATGACCGCCAACTAAAGCGGCTTTCACCAGCATCATGATGATAGGATTACCCACCGCAGCGCCCAGTGCCAAGGCAGCAGCCAGACCACGCCCGTCGGCGATCTCTCCTGACGCGATGTATGGAATCTTGAGCTCTTGTGCGGTGCGAGCAAGCTAGTTCGGGTGCATGTGAGATGTGCTCTCGTAGGTAATGAATGCGGCTACGTACAAGTACGAACCCACGGATGTCGTCCTCGCCAAGATGGCCAGCGCCTGAAGGTATGAGATTGATTAGCGGATTCCAACCCAATGGATCGCAAGATACTTACACTCGAAACCATCGATGCTCAAGACATCCACGCCCATGCGCTTTTCAGCCTAGCTCGCGCATATTAGTACGTTCATCGCTTCTCAAAAGTCGAAGTGCAGGCCTTCTTTGACGTGGGGCGAGCTAGCTCGAAGACGCCGCACTCATGGTTGAGAGCCGAACTCAAACTGTTCATTCTCTGAAAGAGCAAATACGCATCATCAGCGATGGTCGAGCTTCAGAACTCTGCTCTGCTGGAAACTGAAGAGGCCAACGTGACTGCTGAGGAATCAAAAGTAAGGCCCAGGAGGAGCTCTTCGGCACACGACAATGGCTTGCTTCGACGCGAGCTGAGCTCCACGAGATGCTGAACGGATTCGCAGCTGTGCAAAGGGAGGTGAGCATTCTAGCGCACGATGATCATGCTTGGACTGACGATGATCGCACGTCCGTTCGAGAATGCAAAAGCTCTGACAGAGTCGGAGGTGGCTGAGATTGATGCGCAGCATCGAGCTCAGGCTGCAGTCGAAGAGGAGCTGCATCGCGCCTACAAGCAGATGCAAGAGCTGGAAACTGCGCAACTGCAGACTGTGGCAGTGCCCGACATGAAGACGGAGATGGAGGTGGAGCGTGCAGCACGCGAGAAGGTCGAGGGACAGTATACGCCCGCACTCGCATACACTGCAGAGCTTTAGCAGAGAATAGCCGAAGCTGACGCCACGTGCGATCTCCGAGACAAGCACCAACTTCAAGCTACTCTCGCAAGCGTTTGAGAGGAACGAAAAGCACAAATCTGCGAGACAGATGCGGTGCGCGCTACTCGCGCACGTGTATGAGGGACGCTTTCTATCGCAGAGTCGGCCAGACAGGACTTGCGATGACGGTGCCCTTCTCCGATGAGGTCGCAAGCAGGGTCCCCGTCAAGTTAATCGAGAGGAAGTAAATTGGTTTTTGTGCGCCTGAATGACGTTTGCGACGGTCAGCGAGCATGTCGAGAAGATGAGCACGTCACCTGTCTGCTGCGCTGACAAGGAGGTGTGGCGGGCTGGACGGATGGCCGAGCGAGCGGTGACTCATGAGGTGGGAGAGGGGACTGGAGAAGAGTATGCAAGGTGGGAACTGTCGGTGGAGGGAGAGAGAGCGACGATGGCTGCGCAGACAAGCCGAGTTGTGCGCTGTGAGTAAACAGGGGGCGAAAGTACTCACCTTCAGGGTTCGGTGTGGTCTCTACAACGCGCATGAGCCGCATGTTCGAAATGTCGTATATGCAGATCTCTATTTCGAGGACGATGACCAGCATCTTGCGGTTCATCTTAACGGCAAGGATGGAGGATGGGAAAAGGAATTCGCAGATCATGGATTGTCGCTGCAAGCAGATAGTGAGGAACACAAAAACTGACCATTATCATCACAGAGGTGCAAGATTTGGACGTGATGGGCATACCTTCGTGTTCACAACCTGCAACTTGCGTGGGCTAGATTGTGATTGTAGTTGATCGGCGGCACCAACGAGTGCGATGAGCGACGAGCACAAAAGCATTCCAACAATTCCCTTTGTACCACCATCTACAAGCCGAGTAAGCGAACGACCGTGCAGATAGACGTTTTTGTTGTGCATGCACCTTGATGAATTTGAACGCGTGAGTGACGCGGATACGTGGAATTCGGCGGACGGAACTCGCAGATCATCGAGGTTATTGCACCTGCATCCTGGCTCGGCACACTTGAGGACGCTACTGTACATTGTAATTCGCAACGGGTGTTCTGTTGTTTCATATGAAACCCCTGTATGCAAACTAAAGTGTATGAACCTCAATGCTGTATTGCGGTCTGAGCAAGGCAAGTGAGCAACACCGAAAGTCGTATCTTATTATATGGCTACCGACCCACACTCAGATTGCATCATCATGCTGAAGGCGATCGAGCGGGGTATACCCTCAAGGACATATTGCTCCTGTCTCGTTCCACCGTGCCTGCTCAGAGAGCATCTATGCTCGGCATTCTCAGACGCATTGCGAAGAGACTGGGAAGGGCACGCCGGGGGGATGCGAACGTGACGATACCGGAGCTCGCCGGCTAGGATGTGAAAATTTGCAAACGTATCCTAGCTGCCAGCGTCGAGGCTATGACAGAGTGGGGGTGGAAGAAAGTTATGTGGGAGTGTATAGTCGGCTAGCGGCAAAGAGGAGAGAGGATCCCCACTGTCGGATGTAGAAATAATTTCCGATGACACACCAGGTGGGGGAACCCGGAGCGGATTATCTGCATTGCGCTAGGAAAATGATGAGTATGGTGATATGTGCCGTAGTCTACGGATAACTTGCCATAGACATGCGGCGAGCTGAAGGTCAGTGCAACGTGATGTGCAATAGGTGAGCACTTGTGAGAGCGGCGCTGTGATGAATGGAGACGTCAGTCAGTGTGACTGTTCCGTGCTCATGTCAATACCTTCTCGGTCTAGAATGGCCTTGGTCAACTTCGATGCCACTTGAGGATTGTCCTTTGCCAGATAAGCGAGTGCAGAAAGGGCAGCTTCTTGCGACTGCGGGACGCGCATATAGTCATGCCTTCGGTCGATATTTTGGGATTGCCTACCTTGATATCTTTCTTCTGCAGCAGAGCAATCAAACTTCGCATGACCCGGCCGTTTCGTCTGCTGGAAGAGCTCGATAAGCCAGGCTTCTCCCACGCTCTCTTGCCTTTCACCTCCTTCAGGCGATCTGCCACCGGCAACCAATCTGATACTGCCACACGATGGATTGGCACCCGAATTGCATTTGCAAGGAGTTGTGCTATCGATATCACAGTTTGCGCAGAGGAGTCCGCGAGTAGAGGCAAAAAGGTGTCCAATACTTCCGGCTGGGCAACAAATGGGGTGAACATGTCATTGAACAAAGTCGTGTGTATCAGGATAGAGCATATTACCTGGAAGAGGTAGTCCAGCGCAACCTTGGCTCCGTTGCGCACCTCTAAAGAAGCGGTATGCAAGCCCTATTGCGACGGTCCGACTGCATTGGCAATGGATGCCGCCAGCGCACGCAGGGCGCGTGCAAAGGCCGCACGAAACTTGGGCGACTCAGGTGGTCGGAAGCTGGCTATTGCGTAGATGAAGGCTTGGTGGGCATTGTATCTCATAAGAGTCTTGAGCGCATCCTCGGAGCCTGGGCCGTAGTGCGTTCAGGCCGGACGTAAGGAGGGCGCATGTAAAGGAAGTACGCACCATAGGACAGCGAGGCAATAACATGTGCGGCCTCGATGCGGATATCGTCCTGCGACGATGAAGGGTCCTCTAATATCAGGGGCGGGTTGTTGATGAAGTCGACGAGGCTGGTCGCCGGTCAATGCGTAGAAGCCATAGACGCTGCGCTGCATGCTTATGTTCCGATGAACGCCTCATCGTTGGCCATGGCGTGTTTAGCGGTGGGGTTGCCTATGATTGTGTTCTTGGCCTTTTTCAAGGCAGAGAGACTCATTGCTTCGATTGTCATGGTGGTAGAATGCAGATAGCCTGCACTGTAATGTTCATAATACAAGGGTGACCACTAGGAGCCCACCTGGGAGCTTTGGGTTCTAGGAGATAGCCTACTGGCTGACAGCCTGTCCAAGTTCAAGAGAGAGGTAACGCAATCGAGACGGTGCAATCAGTCGACAGTTGGTAAATGAGAGAAGGATGCAAGCGGTGGCCTGGAGAGGTCGAGGAGGATGCATGTCCAAAAGCATGCGCCGCGGTGTGCCAAATTACCCCGCGTGCCTCGATAAACGCTCCGGGCAAGCTAAAGCTCTTCCGGATATCATTCTCTTACGCCAATGGCTCAGAAGACAGACGATCTCTATGCTGTTGCAGGTGCACAACGGCGAATATAGCGTACCACAGAAGCTGATGGTGTGACATGATAGATTTCTGCCTGGTGCCAATGGGCATCGGAGAACCATCCGTACGTGAATATCTAACATTTGCAGTGTCGCTGATTAAAACATCATTATACAGGTTGCAGAATATGTTGCGGAGTGCGCTCGCGTGCTTGACAAGACCGGATTAAAGCACAAGGTATATCTTGGATAGCTGCTAGCAGAAATTACAGCTCAGAAAGTACTGCGACATTCTCAGATGCAGTAAGTGGTGCTTCGTTGAACATGCAGGGTAGGACAGCCCATCTAACTGATCACTATTTAGTGGTTATGGAACCAATATAGGCAAGTCCACCGAGTCGACGAGCCTCATGAGAGCTAGCGCGAGTACCAGAGGGCCCATGGTCCGCCGTTATGCAAGCCATTCATGATTGTCACGCCGCGGTGCACGCGAAGGGCGCGCCGTGCATTGCGACTGACATTCGCATTGGCACGCGAGTCGACAAGGAGATCGAGCCGGGCACAGGCAACGAAGGCAAGGTCAAGCGGGTCGAGGACATTCTTGCGCGTGATCAGAAGGCATAATTTGTTATTCACTAAAATGACGCAGATGAGTGTGAATAGCAGGAAACCATGATCTTGTATATTAGCTGTCCCTAGATTAAAGCAGAACGACTGAGGTCCAAAGAATGCTTGCTCATCGTTCTCAGCGATGTGTGAATTCCAATGCATGATGAAGCATGTGTGGACTGACCAGCAAGTGGCGTGACGAGCCGGCCCGCGTCCCTCATGAATGCCCATCCCCATCGCCAGCGACGCGCTTGCTCATCTTTTCTCTATCCACCATGGCCTCCCTCGCCCGGTTACGCGCTAGCCTTCCTCGCACTCGCAAAACTGTAAGGGATGCCGGACGTCGTCTCTTACTATTCCCAAACTCACCGTCCACGTTACATGGCCTCTGGTCCGTGCGCTCCAGACGGCAGCGGACACGACACAGTTGAAGGAGGAGGCGTCGCACTCCGAACCCTTCATGGTCACGCTTCACGAGGAGTCCTTCCATGGGTTCAAAACCGACCCCCCGACGCGTGATCTCGAGGTGACCAAGGATGGCCTCCTGAAAATGTACAAGCTCATGAGCACCATGCGCCGCATGGAGCAAGCCGCGGACGCCCTCTACAAGCAGAAGCTCATCCGTGGTTTCTGTCATCTCGCCATCGGACAGGTGCGCGCCCCGCATAGACCCTTGTCGCACACATTCTGACGCGTGTCTGGCGGCTACCTTCAATCAGGAAGCTGTATCGTCGGCATGATGCACGTGCTGACGCCCCAGGACAACATCATCTCACCCTATCGCACACATTCGTTCGCCATCTTGCGTGGTGGGAGCGTCTTTGCGCTCGTCAGCGAGCTTCTCGGCCGCAAAACTGGTATCTCGAAGGGCAAGGATGGCTCCATGCATGTCTTTACGGAGTCCTTCCAGGGCGGGCACGGTATCGTTGGTGTGCAAGTCCCGCTTGGTGCTGGCCTCGCGTTCGCAGCGAAGTACCTGGAAAAGCCAATCGTGACGTAGACGATGTATGGCGACGGCGCGAGTAACCAGGGACAGGTGTTCGAGGCTTTCAACATGGTGCGTTTGTCGTTACTCACAATCCAATCTAAAGCTCACTATGCCATACATATCTGTGATGATAGGCCAAGCTATGGAACCTGCCATGCGTGTTCGTCTGCGAGAATAACAAGTACGGGATGGGTACCTTGGCGGAGCGGAGCTCGTCGAACACTCAGTATTATACTCGTGGTGACCAGATCCCAGGCATTCAGGTAACGTATTCCTTGCAGCACCCTAGATCAGTACTAACCCTGTATCTAGGTGAATGGCATGGACGTCCTCTCGGTCGTGAAGGCTGTGGAGCACACCAAGCAGTGGGTTCTGGATGGAAAGGGCCCTATAATACTTGAATTCGTCACGTACCGCTACGGTGGTCACTCGTACGTCGCGCCCTCACTATCTCTCACAACCACAATGATGGATCGTTGATGCTCAGGATGTCTGACCCTGGAACGAGTTACCGTACGCGTGAGGAGATCCAGCGCGTACGCAGTACAAACGACCCTATCCGTGGCATGCAGAGCTATCTAGCGGATTGGGGTCTGGCGACTGAGGAGAGTCTGAAGGCACGCCGCCTTCTTCGTTACATACTCACGCATCTTACTGACGCATTGTGCCGTAGAAACTCGACAAGGACGCGAAAGCAGAGGTTGATGCTGCAGTTGAGGAAGCCAAGAAGGCGCCCTTCCCTCCCGATTCGGACCTCTGGGCTTCTGTCTATGCCGAGGGCCACGAGCCACCTTTCCTGCGTGGTCGGGAGTGTGAGGAGGTGGGTCGTTACGAGTCCTCGCTTTGAGGGATACAAAACTGACGTCACTGCAGGTGCACCGGTTCTGAGCTCCCATTGATGCGTAAGAGTTCGAGCGTGATTTGATTCTTATAGTGTTTTGATGGAAGGCCGTACAGTACAGTATTAGATGCCCTGTGCTAGTGTAGCGTGACATTACTCCACCGTCCGCGACGCGACGCCGTGGATGATTCTTCTTGGGTGACATGATGCGTATGAAGCAGACTGTTTGTTAAAAGTCCGCTCTGACTGTCGCTACTCGCTGAGGCCTCCGAATGTCATGGCGGAAGGTCTGCATTAATGTGGTATTCTATGTCCATCAGTCGCTAAACTTCTGTCGGAAGTATGGTATCTGTAAGTTTAGTGTGATTGCGCCGGTATGTCAACCTCAGTGCCATCGTCAGCTATGACCTTATAACGGACTGCACGGAGTTGAGACTCAGAAGCATAAGAACAAGTGGGCACTACGCACTGATGGTGAATGGTTCGCCTTTGGCTTTACGTATGCTTGTGAAATATAGTGTTCCTGAGCCTGCATAAGGGTGAGTAACTTC